ATTATATTCAATTAATCGATTATTTTCGATGATTCGGTTATTTTCGATTAATCAATTATTTTCGATTGCTCGATTAATTTCGATTAATCGATTATTTATTTTGATAATCGCCCAGCCCTACTTGTAGCTTCCCTGATGATGAGTATAATCATGTTCGAAAGCTTGGAATAAATTTACTTAAAAGAGTACACTTTGTTCAATATTATTTGCTGAAGAACTTAAAATTTCCTAACTTATTTTATATATATACTCGTATATTAGCTATTAAAGCATTTGTAATTATTTAGATACCCTGTTTAATATAATTTTATTATGTATGATTTTTTAATGCTTTGTATCACAAAAGACATATGTAATGAACCAAATGTAATGCAAAACTTTTTACCACTCTTTTAAAGTCAATCACATATATTAATTTTCCTTGCAGGTTAACGCAGTTTATGTCGCTCACCTATTTTAATCCAGAAATGTTAGTAAAGCCTGGGAGACCCTGTAAGCATTGATTTTACACTTACTTTTAGTTTAAAAAATAAAATTATCCTTTTATTTTACATTTTGGCAAGACGGAAAAGTAAAATACGGCTCTGCTCAATTTAAGCTTATGTTTACAACAGGCGTAAATGCAATTTGAATAGACTTTAGTTATTACATATCCATTGTCATCAATATTTGTACAGAATATACTACAAACATGTTACAGGTTATGACAGAGTTGAATTTAAAAATTAATTAAGATCATTTAAATTAAGACTACAATAATCACTTTTTCAGTTGATTTTCGGACTATAAATTATATCACAACTTAGATTATACTTTCAACTATTCTCAACTAATTTGAGACCCAGTCTTAATAAAACTTGTGATCTGATTATTTGCGTAACAGTTTTTACTTTTAATTTTACATTTGCTTACCGGATAAAAGGTATTTTTATTAAATAAAATAGTTTAATAAATATACCGCAAATGGGAAAGTATAGGAATCATGATAAAAGTTGCTTGTGATGTCGTTCTCTATAATTAAAAAATTGATATCGGGAAACTTATTTCTCAATTTTAAAACTCACAGAAGGTCCACTAAACTGTTTATGCTGAAACGTGGTTTTGTGTATACAGTATGGTTCAAATGAAAGGAATAAATTCATTATAATGGAAGTAGTTGGTTTTTAGAAAAAATGCTCGGACAGGTCAATTTTGATTACTTAAAGCGCAATTTTTTAAATAAAATTCAATTTTCCCCCACTTCCCATTTTTGGGCAGTGACGTCATTGACAATTTTTTTAAATAGCAACCCCAATTTTTTTTTCTTGATTTTGATAGATCTTGCAATTTCCTACTCGGAAACGTAATATTTGAAATATCTGACAACAATTTTTTTTGAAAAAAAGTCATTTCAAGATCAGATACATAAATTTTATTTTATTTTGAAACACAATAAATTAATAAAAGATAATTATTTGTAATTAAGTGCTTAATTTAAAATAATAATAATAATAATAATAATAAAACGAATTTAATGACAATTTCACAAATTCTTTTTATTATTATTTTGTTAGATTAAGCATTTAATTACAAATAATTATCTTTTATTAATTTATTGTGTTTCAAAATAACATAAAATTTATGTATCTGATCTTGAAATGACTTTTTTTCAAAAAAAATTGTTATGTCAGATATTTCAAATATTATGTTTCCGAGTAGGAAATTGCAAGATCTATCAAAATCAAGAAAAAAAAATTGAGGTTGCTATTTAAAAAAATTGTCAATGACGTCACTGCCCAAAAATGGGAAGTGGGGGAAAATTGAATTTTATTTAAAAAATTGCGCTTTAAGTAAACAAAATTGACCTGTCCGAGCATTTTTTCGAAAAACCAGCTGCTTCCATTATAATGAATTTATTCCTTTCATTTGAACCATACTGTATATTTATATAACTTGTAAGTCTCACAAAGGTAGCAAGTAAATTACTTTATCATATTGTAAAAATAGTATTCTCTATTCCTTAAATTCGAATATTATTATTTATAATCGAGCAACTAAATAAATTTTTAAACACGGTGGCACATCAGAAAGCGATACAGAAAGTATGAGGATATGTTTAGGATCTATAAGGATTTCCGAAGATGTATGAAAGATTTGTGAGGATGTATTAAGGAGTTATAAGGATTTCCGTGGAATTATGGAAGATGTTTAAGGATTTACAAGGAAGTATGTGGATTTATAAGGATTTATTTCTACCAAAAGGATGTAGGTGTACAAAATTCAGATCACTGATTTGCCCCTCCTGTAAAAGATAGTTTCTAGAAGGCTTTAGTTTTAAATGTAAATGGTTTTTAAATATTTTTCAAAGGGAAAGACATTAACAGATCATTTTTTATGTAACAAGCAATTATTTTTAAGTAGATTTTGTTCTATAAAAAAAATCATAAAGTCCAATTTTTGTCGTTTGACCTTATTGAATATTTTAAACTTTTGAATATTTAAGTGGAATTTTATTTCAAGTATGTTTCATGTAAATGCGATTGTATTGTATCTAAAAAAAATTAAAATAGTACATATTTATAATATTTTAATAACATCCCTTATGAATTACATATAAAGTAATAAGGTGTAATAGATTCTTATAATTTTCGGTAACTACTACAAGTCAAGTTTTCAGTTGGTTTTGATCGTCATCAATAAATGTATTAAACAAAAATCTCGCAATACAAATTTGGTGACAACTTCCTACAGCCTAATTTTCTTTAGAAAAATTTTTGTATCCTTGTAATGTTTGATAACTCTTAAGGTTTATACACAAAAAAAATCTGATTTGATGACATTTTTGAAAGGAATAATCTGGTTAGGATTAATCTGGTTTAACGTCGTTAGTTTACATGTCAAAATGAGAGCTTTGGAGGCGTTTTAAAATTAATCTTGAGTTTTTTGTTCCAGTTTCTGTTTTTGTTAGGTATGTCAATGATTATTGCTGCAACGTTTTGTGAGCAAACACCCTGTATATAGTTTGGACATTTCCTAACTTCAAAGATATTTCTCGTTGTTGGTAGAAAAAATGTTTTAAATATTTAAAAATTGAATGAATACTAAAATATCAAAAAAAAATTATAGAAACTTAAAATATAGGATAACAACTCTAATAGAATATAAAGATAGAAGACGAAAAAAGAAGCAAACAAAATTTAAGAGGAACATAGTAAGTACCTTATTCACGAAAAAACAGAAAAGCTTAAAATAGGATAAATTGAATGTTTTAATTTACAGTAATTAGGCGCGTATACATTCATTTGAAAATGGTCTTACCAAATTACAACATCGGCTCGTATTTCAGATGTAAAATTAAATATTAAACAAATCCTAAATATAAATTAATAGCTAAAATTCAACAGAGGCGTTTACCTTTTTACTTTCCTATCTGTATACAGATATAAGGAAAGTATAGGAATCATGATTTTTTTTTGACCTCGAGTTTTCGACGGATTTTTACGTTTTGTGGTCCCCTGAATCCGTTTGGGCTATTTTCGCGATGATGTCTGTGTGTCTGTTTGTGTGTGTGTATACTCATGAACCGATGCACAGAAAAATACCAAATTTTAAACTTAAGCTTTGTTCCAGCGTCCAATGAAATGATTAGATTTTGGGCAGAGTCTGGGGGGGGGGTACTTTATATGTTGTCATTTTTATATTTTATGGAATATATCTGTTATTTACGTTTGGGGAAAAAAATTCTTCAAATAAAAGTTACTTTTTATATTATTATCTATAATTTTTGTTTTATACAAAATTTTCTTAAAAAGGGCCGTATTCGAGAAATTTGACAAAATGTAAAAAAAATATTTTTTTATAAAAATTGTTCAAATAAAACTTGTTTGTAATATAATTCTCTATAATTTCTATTCCATACATAAGTTTTCTAAAATGGACCGTATTTGAGATATTTGAGAAAATGTGTAAATTTTGAAATTTGAAGAAAACTCAAAAACGGATAAAGAAAAAACATTAAATTTTAACTTAAGTTTTATTTCGGCCTGACGTGAAATGATTAGATTTTGGACAAAGTCGGAACATCTGGGGGGGTACTTTATGAGATGCCGTTTTTATATTTTATGGAATATATCTATTATTTATGTTTGGAAAAAAAAATTGTTTAAATAAAAGTTACTTCTAATATTATTATCTATAATTTTTGTTTTATGTAAAAATTTCCTGAAATGGTCCGTATTCGAGAAATTTGACAAAATGTGCAAAATTCTGATTTTTATGAAAATTGTTGAACTAAAAGTTGTTTGCGATATCGATCTCTATAATTTTTGTTTATACATGATATTTCTAAAATGGACCGTAATGGAAAAATTGTAGGAAAAGGGCTAAATTTAAAGTTTTCAGTATTTTTGTTTTTAATGAATATCTATAGAAAAATGTTTCGAGATAGATGTATGTGGAAAATGTATATATTTAGTTTTTTCTCTAAACATTTATAGAGGTGCTGCAATAGGTTGTACAAAATAACCGGAAAAAGCCTATAATAACTAGATAGGAAAGTCATGTGTTGGACACATCAGATTTTTATTAGTGAGGGCAAGGAGCATGGGTTTTGAAAATACTTTATGTTCCCAGCCCTCCCTAATGAAAAGGTGAGTTTTAGCTTTTAATTTCTGTTTGATTAGTTCTAGGATTTTTTTTAATATTTAAGTTTATGTCCGTAATATGAGCCACCTTGTATACATTTTCGGCCAATCTTGAAATTTGGCAAGACTATTTTCGCCTTAATATACACGCCCAATCATTGTAAATTAAAACGTCCAATTTATCTTATTTAAAGCTTTTCTGTTTTTTTCGAGAATAAGGTAATTAATTATATTTGTTTAATATTTAAAAACACTATTAGAAATAATATATAATTTTTAGTACTTTTTGAATAAAACTATGTGCAATAATAATTTGTAAATAAACTTTGTCTATTTGTAAATACAATTATTTATAAATAAATATGATTTTTCACTTACCGGTTTTGAAAGTTATTAACAAACCAAAAATAATAGTTTTCAAATCCGTTACCATATTTTCACAATAAACAATACTTTTCCAAACAAAAAAATTAGTTGCTAATTTATTTAAAAAAAAAATACATGAGATTAAAATTGAAAAAATCCCAGATAGTAACTAATATCCCGGTATATATGAATACAAGTATCACACTCGAAGATCAAGCAACGAATAATAGAAAAATCGAATATTTGTTACATTATGCACATACCTCCACGGTGGTTTGGCAAACAATCATGTGCGTACGTCAATCAACGAGAAAGCTGCAGAAAAGTAGGGAGAATACAAGAGATAGATGAATAGTTCAGAAGCGTGTTTGGTATGGTATACATTTTGGTGATGATAATAATGATTATTATTTAATCATCCTCGGATATAGTGGGGGAAACCGGGGCGACTGCTCCGGGCGGCCGTTCAACGAGGCGCCAAATTCATATTTTTGGAAAAAAAATATTTCATTAGGATTGTTCCGAAAGGCACTGCGTATATTGCAGCATAGCAAGGCGTTAGTTACAACTTTACGCAAAACTAAAACTTTAAGTTTTATATGGATCTCCGGAAAAAGTATCTACACGTCCAAAATGTTTGAAAAAAATTTTTAATGTATATGCAACCTTTAGTATTATTTTACCAAAATTTGATAGGGTTTGTATAATTTGTTCTCAATAAAAATCAGACTTTTTTAATAGTATAAAACAAAGAAACTAAAATATCAAGAGATATCATTATTTCATAAAATAAATTAGTTTGGATTAAGAAACTTACAAACATTTTTTGACGTAATTGAAGAATATTTATATGTTTTTCACAAAAATTAGATTTAAACTTTAAAAATAAATGTAATATAGAATATACCTTCAATAATTATATTTGAATACGACCTCGAAACATTAATAATTTTTTTTATAAATTTAGTAAAAAATTCAATTGAACAATAACACTATTTTGAATTCTCTCTTTAAAAGCATTATCTCTGAGAAGTGCTGCCATCTCATTCAGTACTTTCTAAAATTGCTCGCAGAGAGCACTAAATTTGCTACTCAAACAAAAATTTCGGATGTCCGCGTACACCAACGCTACCTTGTTGCCAGATCAAGTTGTATTAATAAGTTCGCTGGATTAAATAGATATTTTTCTATTAATAATTCGGTCGATGCATACCTATTAATTTTACAGAATATTTGAATGGTGTAATTATTAAATGAAAGGTGTGTTCTGAATAATGCATGTGTTTTACCAATTAAAAGAGTTGAACAGATGTTTACCGATATTACCGAATATCAGTCCCAGCTAGCACATAACGTTGCCAAGACTTTCAGCGATGTTGCATTAAGGGAACTTAATAACATTACTATACAACGTAAATGCAACGTTCATGAGAAGTTGTTGAGGGAAATCAAAACCTCGCAAAACTTCTATTTGTTATTTACCTAGTTAACCTACCTGTTATGTTAACACAACGTAATAAAGTAATTTGCTAAAAAGAACAAGAACTGTTTATGTCAATTGCCACTTGCCAATTTTTCTTGTCATATGTCATGTTTGTTTTTTTTTAATTTGCAGAATTTCTTTTATAATTATTATTAAAAACATTTGAGTAGAAGTGGTAAGGATCCTCTATCTCTATAAAATAGAAAACTATTTTCTGAACCATTTTCTTCATTTTAGATTACAATGCCTGATGTAAATTTTATCAAAATGTCCGGGAATATTTGGATCATATTTTTGTAATTTTCGACAGAAAGCTGGAGGTGGTTTATAAAATTATAAAAATGTCCGGAAATATCTGATAACTTTGTTAGAAGCTAGATAGAAGGACTTGGTTTATGAAATTATAAAACGAGGACCTCTAAATACTTGAAATACGTTCTGAAAGAGATATACAAAACTAAGTTTCCACGTTACTGGCCTATTTAAGGATGTAAGTGGTGGCAGTAATTCCTTTTTCCCTAGCTGGCTCTAACTGTGATTTGATATAATATCTCTTTTAGCTTATGCACAATTTACCCTGTGGTTTATAATCCCCTACAAATGGTTATTAAAGCTGTTAATGTGTTGATGGTATTAACAATAGGATACAATTTATCTTATGGTCCCCCTTTTAGTACTAGAAGGTGAGTTTACATGTTTAATTTTTCAAGCTTATCTGCTATAGTTTATATTTATTTTCGAATTAATCAAAACGAGCCACTACTTCCAAATCTGGAGAAATACTTGTGGCTGAGAAGTCATAAATCTTACTGCAATCAAACTGGTGATCGTTTAGGATGCGGTAATAACTGATGATGGATTCTGGAGGCGCCGAAGCCTCAGCAAGGGGCTGCAAGTGAATCATAGCTATATAAATTGAGATTCCTATGCATATCGCTAACATATGTGTTTTAGGTAATATTTCAGTTCAACAGAAGACCCACTAAGTTATTATATACATAGTTATTCATTAGATAATTACAGTAAATGATAAATAAAGGCCTAAAATAAAATAACACTATTGGTATGTGATTTTAGGGGAGCATGGAGAGGTTGAACTTATCACAGATTTAGGGGCTCTTCTTTTACAAGAAACAAAATCCACAATATGTGATTCCACTTTACTAAGGATGTAACAAACTTCTGGGTAATAATATACTTAATCGAACTAAAAATACATTTTAAAAATATTGTATTTTAGATTTTCTTTGTACCTGAAAACATTCTAAGAATTTTAGAAGCAAAATAGATACTACAGACTTGTCTAAAGAAGAATAGGCATATAACATCTGAAGTTTTATAAAAAGTGAATCTACATGGTACGTCTATATTGAAAACAAAAACATCAGATTCAAGCAAGTGCCAAACTAGAAGAAAATTTGATAAAAATCACAGACGATGCCCTCGAGCATACATCAGAATATCTTGCTAAAAAACATATGTTGTTTTTTTATAAAATCTTCATACTAACTTGGAAATCCATAATTAAGCATAAAATTTTTGAAATTCTAAAAAAAATTAATGCACTAACATTAGAGGTTTTATTTAAAACAACAAAATAAGACAAAATTATCTAAAAATAAGTGCAACGATTTAAACTTGAGTATATTTTTTTACTTTTTATAATTTCCTTCAATAATAGTTAAACAAGTAGGTCAATCTCTTTTTTATTCAATATGTTGTGGAAAAGTAAAATCATTTTATATAAAATTATAATTTATCCTCTTCTAATAAATTGTCATATACTTATGTTACATTATAGCATAAATAAAAATATTTCCAAGCCACATGTAGTTAGAATAAAATAATTTTTGTTCACCTTTGCATAAATAATAAACTAATAAAATAAAAATATAAAAATATATAAATATCTATACAAAAAAAAAGTTAAAGGTTTGATTTTAAAAAGATGATATATCTCTGCGAGTACAGGTAAGCAATCTGGAACCTTAGCTATCCCTTATGATATATACCTAAGTCATTGTTGCAATCATCTATTATTCACAGATCTAGTTTTTTTAGCATCATACAATTGCCATCTTGAAACGTACCTTATATAAATATACTTTTGTACAATCGTTCACTGTTTAAGCTTCTAGTGAACCTTTGCAATATTGAACATTTTAATAATAAATTTATATAAATATTTTGTTTTATTTGAAATTTCCATGTCTCGATTGAGTTTTTACTATACCTTAATTTCAGCCTCTTTATATTACATTACACAAAGAACAATATAGTGTGTCCGTGGATGGACTTAATTATACTTGTAAAAATATTTATTTTAAATTAAAAAAAGTTATTTTTCATAATTTCTTAATGTGAATCGAATTTATTTAACAAAAAGAAATTATGAAGAATTACTTTTTTAATTTAAAATAAATATTTTCACAAGTATAGTTAAGTCCATCCGTGGACACACTGTATAATGCTGTAGAACTAATTCACATTATAACATCTATAGAAAGTATCAGAGCAACTTTCAGGGTAAGTACCGTAAAAGTCCTAGTGTGATGTTTTCCGAACTTCACTTTTATAACTTCTGTGAGATGTGCTAGTAAAGTCTTGCCGTTGCGGACATTCGGTGGGTGCAGGGATATTAGGGTTACATTAAAAGAACATCGCATGTGAGCTTAAAGAGCCTAAAATTGCAGCTTATTAACGTAGATGGGATGTTTTTGTGCTAGTAATAACACTTTTACCGTTGAAAAATATAAATTCGTAAAAATCAGATTGGCCCTAAAATCACAATAGTACCTAAGTAGGTAGGTATTTTATATTTTTTGTACAAAAAAAAAAATATTTATAACTAAATTTAATAAATATACCTTTTAAAAATCCTTATTGATCATACTAAAAAAATAAAATCATTAAATATTAAATAGTTATGGTTTTCCTAAGGGACAATTTTTTGCCATCAGCCCTCAAAGTAAAACAAAAGTATTTAACATGTTTTGGTGCATTTATTGGTACAAATTCTCGAGCTGGGTAAGAACACTTTACTTGAATAGTTTTATCATCATCTATCAATCCATCCGGTGAAGCTGCTATGAAACGATAACCTTTTTCTAAACAGACGAATAAATCACATTCAACAACTGTATTCTTTGTAAGAGAAGCATAGGTGTCTTTCTTATATCGGCCGGTGTTAGCCAATTCTCACCGAATACAAATCATCTAATAAATGAGAGCGTCGGGCAATCATAGAGGATATGCTCTATGATCTCATCTTTTTTTTTCAGAACTTCCAGAGTGCGGATTCTACCAGCCCATGACATGGAGATGCTTCCTTACTTGGTAATGACTCGTCAGAATGCCTGTGATCAGGCATCTAGTCATAGTCAAGTATTTGTTCGCTGTAGTGTTGTCAGGATAACTTAAAAGCTCTTTAGACTCTAGTGATATAATTTTTGCATGGTCACCCCTAAATTCGTTTATTGTGACATATTTTATTGGTTACATTAAAAGTACATTGCATGCAAGCTAAAAGAGCCTAAAATTGTCGCTTATTAACGTATACGTGATGTTTTTGTGCTAGCTGGGATAATATTAGAAAACTTCGAATTTCGAATTGATACGAAGGTTGTCAAGCGCACCGAAACCTATAAAGTCGCCACTATTAAGGCCCAACTCAATCTTGTTTGACATATAGTCACGATTTTTTTTTTAGGTTAGAAAACTTGCATTATCGATTTTTGATTCGAAGTAATACAGGACGTCACTTTAAATTTCTCTCTTTATGTCAACAAATATGTAACACGATGCATTTATAAAACGTGTGTCACCAATTAATATGTGGCGGCAACTGACGTCAACACTGTCAGCTACTAGAGTACATACAGG